TGGGGTAATAATATAGTGTAAAGCGCATAGAACGTGCTTTCGAGTGGGGACATGCGCTATACAAATGCTATTTATTATTTAATATTAATTGTGAAATGTGCTGACAAAATGAGTTACTTCCCACGATCCAAGAAAGGAGATATCGGCTGAAAATCGACACTGGGGTCAGATTTATAGATTTTCAATTGATGCCATTTTGTTCACGTTTACTGTGTCTTTTACTATTCCATGCTCACAAATTTGTACAAACTTCACCTATCAAGTTGATGTATCAATTTCCATAAGGCTGAAATCCGAGAACTAACTCATTTTGTCAGCACAGCCCACATATTATAATAATAATTGGGGACGAAGGATTGTGGGCAGTGAGCACCGCTGCTACTTCCCCGCTCTCCTCCAAGTCCCACTATATTTCTCTCTCTCTCTCTCTCTCTCTCTCTCTCTCTCTCTCTCTCTCTCTCTCTCTTCTGGCTCTGTGACTTCATAAGTGGTCAACAATGCCGACAGCACACAGGAACTCAACATATGAACTGTTTTCACTGTTTAAAAAAATGGAGATACGACAAGAAAGCACTGAGGTCACGACATACCCGTAGATCCTTAAAAAGTGCTGAACATGGGTCACTGAAATGTTCCAGCAGACGTTTTCTGGCACGACAGTTGGCGGGACATTTTAGGAACACATGGTCCATAGTCTCGTCCTCCTCCTTGCAGGATCGACAGGACAGATCTGGGTAGTCCGCTGGCGCAATTTTGTGGAGATATGATTTCAGCTTGGGCGATTTTCCACTAGTTCTCATTTGGGAGAGAAGCCGACGGTCTTGTCGTCTAAGCATGGGGTAACACGCACTTTGGGGTAGCTGGTTTGACATCTGTTACCCCTGGGGCGGAAGGGAAGAAATCATAGGGCGTTACACTACTTCCACTGGTCGAGTCCTAGATTTAACCGTTCCACCCGTATGGGGTACAATTTCAAGAAAGTTTTCGTAATTTATTTTATAATGTAAATTGCTGTTTTTAAAACAAAATTTCTATTATATGTTTAAGATATTTCAACCATTTAACTCGCAGAGTCAAACCGAGCTATGCTGTGAACTTTCACGAAAATAACCAACTTGTGTCCTGCACACTCATCTAATCTTTATGCAGATGCAAGCACGGTAGAACTTTTACCAAACCAGATTTTAAAAAGTAGACTGACTGAAACTCAAAAATGTAGTTTTGTGTTGGAAAGTTCAAAATCTGACTGTGAGCTACATCCTGAGGTTCTGTCAGCCCATGTATCTTCTTTTTCTTTTTGTTTTTTAGAAATGTTTGTATGTATGTCATAATTTCACCTGAATTGGAATCCAAATTTTTTCGTTTCTTTTCTAAAGGCTATCTTTACTTCTCCACCATAAATATCTTGCAGATGTTACATACCCCTTCCTCTCAGTTGCACTGTCTGCTTCCCAGGAAGTTGAGATTGTTTCAGGATGCTATCAGGTCTGCTGGGTAATAATGCAGATTGTAAAGCGCATAGAGCTTGCTTTTGAACGGGAATTTGCGCTATATACCAATGCTGTCTATTATCTATTATTGTTATTATTTGATTGCTATTTCACTAAGTTTCCAGGTTGGAATGAGAACTGATCCTGTTTTGTGTGTACACAAACAGAAGTGCCTAGGGATCAGTGGCAAATGCCGATAGCGATAACTCTTAAGCGCACAAGTGTTAATCTTTTGTTACGGAACACAACTGCATTACCTATGAAAAATATTACAAAGGTTATTGCTCACTGTTTTGAAAATATGATAGCATAGACGTAGGGCTACAAACACATTAACAAAATCGTCACTTAGGAGCGGCCCCCAAGTGATTTTTCGGCATACTTTTATTAAATGCTAGGGATGAAGATGATAAATTATTTCCAAATTTCTGGTCACTCTACTTGAGGAGTTGGGAATGAGGGTTGTGTCCTGTCCAACCAAGACAGCCTGGCGGGGATCCAGAGTAAATGCCAAACAAAAAGTGAAATGCACTTGACACCTAGATTAACATGCACTCTATTTCCAACATGAGAGCATCGTCATCGTTACCATCATCATCATCTTCATCATCGTCATCATCATCATCATCGTCGTCGTCATCATCATGACCAAACAATTCCTCTTTTTGTTGTTTCTTTTTTCTTGAAACATAACAATTTGTACCATGTCAATACATTTTTACATAACCAAATGTCGGCACCAAAATCAGGACACGGGACCATAAAAAAGCGAAAAAAAACCAAAAACGTCATATGGCGGGTGAGCAGCCGACCGCCAGGCCCGGAACCCTCAGGTAGCGTGACCAGGGCCTGACCTCATCTCATAGGTCAGAGGGAGATGTGGGTAGTGGGCGTTTGTTCAGGTGATTGTCTTGGACAGTGGCTGTTAGATCAGCTTTGACCTTATTTTTATTAACATGTGTTTCAATGTTGTTGATTTTCTCCAGTCCTTCATCTCCTCGGCCGCTGTGGAGCATCTGGACTTCCTGAACCTGCTCCCAGACCCGGATATCTTCACGCCGTTTGAGGAGAAGTCAATGAAGGCCAGCTTCAAGTCGCTCACTGAAATTCCGCAGCTCATAGCTTTGGAGGAGGAATCTTTCATCAACGAAACGGTTCGTGTGGGGGATGACTCGCGGGGTGATTCATGTGATGTGACTCATGGCATGCTATGTGCTTGTTATCACCTCTTAAAAATCTCCCAGAAACCTGTTCTGCAACAATTACAGTTCTAAATTGTCCCAAATGTGCTCTAAACCCATTTTTTTCGCATCCAGATTTGGAGGGAAATCGGCTAAGTACTCATAGCTGCTGAAAATAGAACTGTTGTAAAAATAAACAATGGCAAATGCTTGCGTTGATGCAAAATGAGACATGTTGTAAATCAGTGCTGCATCTTCACTCTGACGGTAAAGAGGTATTTTGCCCAATTCATGACTAAATTTCTTTCCTATCAACCTATCTATGTTCCTTATCTCTCCTCCTCCATTTCTTCGTATGTTACTCTCTAGAAACATCTCTCATCTTCTGATTTTATATGATCTATTAATGTCGCAAGTGTCGTAAAACTTTTATGAAAACTAAAGTTTTGTTTTGTTTTGTTTTTTCTGTGTAGAACCTGAGGACAAAGACGAGCCAAGAGCTGGTCTCTTACCTCATGTCTGTGTCCGGGCTCAACGCTCAAGTGACCTTGCTGAAGCTTCTGTATGAGAGAGAGGGCCCGTTCTATTCCATAGATGGCAGCACAATCAGGTGGGGGTGTAGACGGTGCCAGGATTTGTGTCATTTGTGTCAATGCTGTACGCCCTTTAATAAAAACCTTTAACCTTCAGCACTTACATGACCTATTTGTGTTGCAGCTGCTGCAAAACTCTTACTAAAACTAAAACCTTATGAACTACTACTGCTACTGCTGTAGCTCTACCGCTACCGCTACTGCTACTACTACTACTACTACTACTACTACTTCCACCACCACCACCTCTACTACTACCACCACTATTACCACCACCACCACTACTACTACTACTACCACTACCACCACTACTACTACTTTCACCCTCACCACCACTACTACTACCACCACTACTACTACTACTACTACTACTACTACTACTACTACTACTACTACTACTACCACTACCACTACCACTACCACTACCACGACTGCTACTGCTGTCCTACATGTACATGTAATTTGCTACTATGTTCTGCTCTCCCAGTGAGCGGCTGGAGCGGCTGATTGACCGTGCTGGGGCCTACAAGAACTGGTGGGCAGTGCGCATGTGCTCCGCTCTGATGGGCAAGCTGGTGGACTCGCTGGCACCCTCCATCACCACCATGTTGGTCCGAGGAAAGCAGGTGAGACCTGGAGGATAGGGGGGGGGGTGAGCTGGGAGAGAGGAGAAGTGAGTGGGGGGTGAGGAGGAGGGGATGAGGGGGGAAGAGGAGGGAAGGGGGAGGGGATCGAAGGAGGAGGAAGGACAAATGCAACTCCTGCATACTATCGAGAGATGTGGCCACCCCCCCCCCCCCCCCCCCTCTTTCATAAGATGACATGTCTCCCTTGAGTTCGTCTGTTTGTTTGGATACCTGTGAGGCATCTGGACAATAAAGATGTATCTTGTTTGATCTTATCTTATCTTATCTTATACTGTGCCGGAACAACACAGGAGGAACTGTTGCTTTTTCTTCCCTCATCCTTACTATCGTCATTTTCCATTACTTCTTTTGTATGTTTGTCACTCTCTTGTGAACTGCTATTTCTAGGGTGCCTTGATAGTCGAAGCAGACTTTGTGCTGTTGAGTGGGGAGCAGAGTAAGCCTGATTCCTCGTTTACACTTCTCTGGTGACATCCAGACCGTGGTGCTCATATGACCTTATGCAGTTGTGAGCACCGTAAAACCTTACTAAAACTAAAAAACAAAAAAACCCTTTATTTTTGGTCGTGGAGTGATTGTTGTCAGTTCCTGCATTATATTAACCACCCCCCCCCCACCCATCTGTATGTTTGTGTAGATCACGGTGGGTGTGTTTGGGCACGAGGAGGAAGTCCTGGACAAACCCATCAGCCCCAACGAGCTCAAGAACATCCTGTACTCCAAGTGCCTCCCCTATGATGTCTGCCAGGCCGTCCTACAGCAGGAGCTCATTCTCTCCATCGGGAAACTCATCGCCACATCACCTGAGCTGTTTGACGGAATTCTCAAGATTAGGATCGGGTACGTAAGCTCCCTCCATATTGGTTTCATCCTGATTGTCTCACTACATGTTGGCTTTGTGCTGAGGTATTAAAATACTGAACATTCAACACCAACCTCCCTCCCCCTCCCCCTCCCCACACACACACACACACTCACACACACTCTGATATCAGATTTATTTACCTGCTCTTACCTTTAAACTATTTTGCCATTTTACCTGCAATACATTGATAAACAATGCATGAAATGGTTTGGGCATCTGTCAAAACTACCACCAGACTGTATAGCAGTGAAAGCGTACAGCCAGAGATCTGTTGGATACAGAGGAAGAGGCTGGCCCAGGAAAAGATAGATAGAGGGGGTCAGAGAAACATTAGAGCAAAACAATATAATATACCCGTACAACAGACGATACAATAAACAAGAGAAAGAAGTAGTTTACCTCCTCCCTCGACACTGTAAGGTAACAGGGGATGGAAAAAGTAAAGTTACAATATTTTCAAACTTAAATCTCCTCCAGTCACACTGCATGTTTGCAAGTATGAATACACCACATTCATTCTCCCCCCCCCCCCCCCCCCCCCCCCCCATTGTAACATTGTGTGACGCTGTATGGCGTTGTATGATGCCATGGCATTATGTGACGTTGTGTGACATTGTGTGACATTGTATAACGCTGTATGACGTATGATGCTGTGACATTGTGCGACATTGTATGGTGTTGTGACATTGTGTGACATTGTATGATGCTGTGACATTGTGTGACGCTGTTATTCTTTGTGACGTTGTGTGACGCTGTTATTCTTTGTGACGTTGTGTGACGCTGTTATTCTTTGTGACGTTGTGTGACGCTGTTATTCTTTGTGACGTTGTGTGACGCTGTTATTCTTTGTGACGTTGATGTTGTATGATTCTGTGACATTGTTTGATGTTGTATGACGCCGTATGTTCCTGCAGGTGGTTTGTGCGGGCCATGCAGGTGGAGCTGGAGATGGAGCAACAGGACGAGGAGAACCGCCGCGAGCTCAGCGCCCTCTCCCCGCACCAGGTCAAGCGCATGGTCTGGTCCGTGCTCACCAAGAACTACCTGGAGGCTGACCTCAGGTCAGTTGGACGCAGAGGCCATTACCATTAGCTTTGTGCGGTCTAGTTTTGTCCATGAAAAAATGAAAAAAAAGTTTACCCCCCCCCCCCCCCCTCCCTCTTTCATAAGATGACATGTCTCCCTTGAGTTCGTCTGTTTGTTTGGATACCTGTGAGGCATCTGGACAATAAAGATGTATCTTGTTTGATCTTATCTTATCTTATCTTATACTGTGCCGGAACAACACAGGAGGAACTGTTGCTTTTTCTTCCCTCATCCTTACTATCGTCATTTTCCATTACTTCTTTTGTATGTTTGTCACTCTCTTGTGAACTGCTATTTCTAGGGTGCCTTGATAGTCGAAGCAGACTTTGTGCTGTTGAGTGGGGAGCAGAGTAAGCCTGATTCCTCGTTTACACTTCTCTGGTGACATCCAGACCGTGGTGCTCATATGACCTTATGCAGTTGTGAGCACCGTAAAACCTTACTAAAACTAAAAAACAAAAAAACCCTTTATTTTTGGTCGTGGAGTGATTGTTGTCAGTTCCTGCATTATATTAACCCCCCCCCCCCCACCCATCTGTATGTTTGTGTAGATCACGGTGGGTGTGTTTGGGCACGAGGAGGAAGTCCTGGACAAACCCATCAGCCCCAACGAGCTCAAGAACATCCTGTACTCCAAGTGCCTCCCCTATGATGTCTGCCAGGCCGTCCTACAGCAGGAGCTCATTCTCTCCATCGGGAAACTCATCGCCACATCACCTGAGCTGTTTGACGGAATTCTCAAGATTAGGATCGGGTACGTAAGCTCCCTCCATATTGGTTTCATCCTGATTGTCTCACTACATGTTGGCTTTGTGCTGAGGTATTAAAATACTGAACATTCAACACCAACCTCCCTCCCCCTCCCCCTCCCCACACACACACACACACTCACACACACTCTGATATCAGATTTATTTACCTGCTCTTACCTTTAAACTATTTTGCCATTTTACCTGCAATACATTGATAAACAATGCATGAAATGGTTTGGGCATCTGTCAAAACTACCACCAGACTGTATAGCAGTGAAAGCGTACAGCCAGAGATCTGTTGGATACAGAGGAAGAGGCTGGCCCAGGAAAAGATAGATAGAGGGGGTCAGAGAAACATTAGAGCAAAACAATATAATATACCCGTACAACAGACGATACAATAAACAAGAGAAAGAAGTAGTTTACCTCCTCCCTCGACACTGTAAGGTAACAGGGGATGGAAAAAGTAAAGTTACAATATTTTCAAACTTAAATCTCCTCCAGTCACACTGCATGTTTGCAAGTATGAATACACCACATTCATTCTCCCCCCCCCCCCCCCCCCCCCCCCCCATTGTAACATTGTGTGACGCTGTATGGCGTTGTATGATGCCATGGCATTATGTGACGTTGTGTGACATTGTGTGACATTGTATAACGCTGTATGACGTATGATGCTGTGACATTGTGCGACATTGTATGGTGTTGTGACATTGTGTGACATTGTATGATGCTGTGACATTGTGTGACGCTGTTATTCTTTGTGACGTTGTGTGACGCTGTTATTCTTTGTGACGTTGTGTGACGCTGTTATTCTTTGTGACGTTGTGTGACGCTGTTATTCTTTGTGACGTTGTGTGACGCTGTTATTCTTTGTGACGTTGATGTTGTATGATTCTGTGACATTGTTTGATGTTGTATGACGCCGTATGTTCCTGCAGGTGGTTTGTGCGGGCCATGCAGGTGGAGCTGGAGATGGAGCAACAGGACGAGGAGAACCGCCGCGAGCTCAGCGCCCTCTCCCCGCACCAGGTCAAGCGCATGGTCTGGTCCGTGCTCACCAAGAACTACCTGGAGGCTGACCTCAGGTCAGTTGGACGCAGAGGCCATTACCATTAGCTTTGTGCGGTCTAGTTTTGTCCATGAAAAAATGAAAAAAAAGTTTACCCCCCCCCCCCCCCCGCAATTTGAATTTCTTGACCCCCCTAGTCGCATACCACTAATTTTATGCGTCTTGTCATGTCAGTAAGAATAAAGTTTTGCCCTGCCCCCATCCCCCCTCCCAAATTCCCCCAGTTTGAACTCTTAGAGACCAAGATATTTAACACTTATTTTGTGTGATCTAGTCATGTCAATGAAAATAAAGTTAAAGCTCCATGTTTTGAAGGTTCCACCCCTCCCCCCCCCCCCTTCACTGTTTTGCAGAACACCATTCCAGAAGAGGCAGCTGGACGGAGCGCTGAACCGAGTGCCCAAAGATTTCTACGACAAAGTCTGGGAGATACTGGAGAAGACACCAGGGGGAATCAAAGTGTTGGGATACTTGTTGCCACAGGTATGGGAGATAACTTATGGGTAGGGGAGATAATTTGTTGTTGTGGGTGGTTGAGATAACTTGTAGGTAGGTTGGGGAGATGACTTGTTGTTGTAGGTAGAGGAGATAACATATTAGATAACAAACTGTTAAGATCTTTTGCCATCTAAAAGCAGGCACCCATTCCTACCCGTGCAAAATGAGGAAAATTTATGAAAGTTCCTTTCCCAAGGACAGAATGTCAGCTATGACCTTTTGGTTGCGAGCCCAACAACCTAATCACTAGACCACCGACTCCACAAGATGTGACTGTTACTCTTCCATCTTGCTTGTGAGTGTGACTTCCCTTGTTGCGGGCCCCCCCACCAGGGTTAACTACTGACTGAAGTATCTTTAAGCCATTCCCAAAGGGGAGATATGAACTTGTTTTTATGCGCAGTAGAATTGTGAATGGGCTGATGCATCAATGTCATTCTTTCCTCATCCTTACTATCGTAATTTTTTTCCTCTTCTTCTTTTGTATAGTTTTGTCACTCTCTTGTGAACTGCTATTTCCAGGGTGCCTTGATAGTCGAAGCAGACTTTGTGTTAAGGCTAGAGAGGTGATCAGAGTAAGCCTGATTCCCCGCTTGGACTTCTCTGTTGACCTCCACCCCTTGGTGTTTATATGACCTTGCCTGATGCAGTTGCGAGCGCCTTAAAACCTTACTAAAACTAAAACTTTTTTGTGGTACTATCCCCAGCAACCGACCCAGTCGGACATGACAATGTACGAGCTCAACTTCTCGCTGCTGGTGGAGCAGATGCTCAGCAAGATCGCCGACCCGTCGTACCGTCAGCTCATGGTGGAAGTGAGTACCGGCAGCCTTTGTGACCTTTAGCTTCTTTAAAAAAATTTCTTTTGACTAGGTTTAAAAAAAAAAAAAGTTTAAATAAAAGAAAAAAAAAATAGAATACAGTAGAACATGACTGCAGCTGCACCCACTACAACGGGGCCATCCCTTCAGCGGGACCTACCGGAATCCCCTTTGTTTTTGCCTATGTAAACTCAATTATCTGTACTAAAGTTTAGTGAGGTGGGGCAAGCAGCAGAGAGAGAGATGGTGCGGAGAGCCACTTCAAAAGAGATGTGCCATAGTCCCAGGCCTAGGCTAAGCCAAAAAGACGGTAAAAGAAGAGAAGAGCGTGTAGTGTGTGATTTTTCGGTAATTCCCCTATTGCATCCCTATAGCGGGAACTTGCCTACAGCGGGATTTTTCTTCTAGAACTTAAAGTCCCGCTCTAGCCATGTTCTACTGTAATGATAATGTAGATCATGTTCATGTCTCATCTACAAAATCTGGATCGTGAAGGAGGCAGTTTTGACTCCAACCCTGGTTGAGAGGGACACAAAGTCCCTGCAGAAATAGCGAGACACTCGATAAAAATTCTACACGCACGAGAATCGAACTCGGGTGCCTGTTGTGCAACGATAAAGTGGTCCCTGCTTAAAGTGACAAAATTTGTTTATTTGGTAAACTGTTAATGAACGTCTTTGAAAATGTTGTTTAAACACGCAAGTTTTGATGTTTTCCTCAGGCTTTTATGGTTGTGTCCACAATACTGGAGAGAAACCCGGAGCTCATGTTCCACCAGTCGGCGAACATGGATAAGGTACTTTCTTGGAAATAGCTGTTTATTGTCGTTGGTTATCGGAAGTCACTTTGTGTTCTCGGGAATCGCTGTTTTAAGTGGGTTTTTTTCTTGTTTTCTCGGAAATCGAGGGGGGGGGGTCTTTTCATCATAGAAAAAATTGGTCGGGTTACTGTCCAATGATGAAATAATAGTTTTGTTCTTGTTGAAAGTTCTTTCCGTACAGAAAATTGTTACTCCTAAGACTGTATTCTATCAGTAGTGTTAGACGGTTCACTCTCTAGGATTTACTCCACAGCATACTGTGCATAGCACGCAATGTACATATATATATATATAGAGAGAGAGAGAGAGATTTCACCTATATTGGTGTGATGACATTTTGTGCTGGTTCCCTAAAAAAAAAATCTTTCAGTGCAGTCTTTGTTCTTATCCTTTGTAGACAAGAGGAAGTTGCATCACTCTTTAAGAATAGCATCCTATAGGCTGTAAAATATGTGTCTTCTCTACCTCTATTCTGGGGTTTTCTGCTGATCTCATATGGACCTATATTGTAGTGTATAATTTTTGGGGTTGGTCTTAAGTGCCAACATTTTAGAACTTTCTGTCATCTAATGTCTTCCAAAGATGTAATATTTGAACAGAATTTATAATATTTTATCAACTTCAAAGCGAATTTGATGTGGCTTTTCTAACAATTAAAAGAGGTTTGTATATTTATTTGTTCCAATTTGTGAGTTTTAAACAAGATTTGAATTTGATGTGAGTGTTTGGCGTGCACTGTGTTGTGCTTTGTTCCTTCTTTCCCATCAAACATCTGTCGCCCTTATTACACTTTAGTAACACCTCTAATCTTTGGCACCTCTATGATCTTTTTGTGTTGCAAGTGCCATAAAACTCTTACTAAAACTGAATTTGTTTTATTTCTGCAGATTATTCAAGAAGCGTACGAAGATTTCCAGCAAGATCTCAACCGCATGGAAGGGCGGGAGAAACAGGACGACATGCATCGGTTTTTCAACACTCCCCCGAATGTGCGCTACGGCACCACGGCCTACATCGCTAAAGCTGTGATAAAAAACCTGCTGGACGGGGACTTGAGGGTTGTGTCGGAGGATCTGTGCACCATTGCTTGATTCTGTCTTGATCTGTGCACCATTGCTTGATTCTGTCTTGATCTGTGCACCATTGCTTGATTCTGTCTTGATGTGTGTACCGTCGTTTGAGTCTGTGGTGATGTGTGTACCGTCGTTTGAGTCTGTGGTGATGTGTGTACCCTCATTTGATTCTGTGATGACGGGTGCACCACTTTCACTTGATTCTGTGGTGATGGGTGCACCATCGCTTCAGTCTGTGGTGATGGGTGCACTGTCGTTTCAGTCTGTGGTGATGTGTGTGTGTGTTGTAGATAGCTTCTTCGTAAACTTTGCTTTGTCTATTAACCCATGCTCGCTTAAAACGAATCTAGACCGGACATTTTCCGTGCGAGCAGAATGGACAAAATGTGCGGTTTTCAATGACTAAAGTTTGTGGGTGTGAAATTTGTTGGTTCCCTCAATGAATGTGCCACACAGTTGTGTTTTATGAGGGAAGCCTATCACTGGCAAGCTGTTTAAAAGTTTTAAGCCCAGATAGCAACATTTGTTAGGAGAAAGAAAAAGCTGTTGTATCTACATCATGTATTTTGTTTAGCTTTTTTCTCCAACATTTATAATAAAATTTGGATTTCAACAAAATGTTTCTTGAGCAAATGTAACCAATACCACAGATTGAGAAGCTGCAGTGAAAAAAAAAATCAAAATTTTTTGCTTCGTACATGTGAGCAGCTTGCTGAGGGTATGTGAGAGGAGGCAATGTGACACAAAGGGTTAACTGTGAGATGAGGCAATGTGATGGAGAAGGGTTAACAGTGTTTGAGTGTGGTGTGGGTGACCTTTTCCTCCCAGGCAGATGGAGGTCTGGGGATACCAGTCCACACAACATTTTGGTCATCCTTTGTCTGACTGAGTGGCTGATCAGATTACTTCAGGTTTTTTTTAACAGAACTATGAGCAATAAATAATGAGGTTGTTCTGCAATTAATTGTACTGTTTGCCTCATGGAAGACTAGACTTGTTTTTTAGTTTGTTCAAATAGTAGGATGATGAACTGGTCTATTGGTACATTTGTCTATAGGTGCTGTATTGTCTCTCTATACATCGTCTGTTTGACGGAGACAAAGCTTGTCATGCAGAAAAAGTAGCTTGAGAATGTTGGGAGTTTTTTGTTTGTGATGTCCTGTCCCCTACATGAAACCTTTGTGTTGTCATTTATTGTCTGTGTATGCTTATGGTGTGTGTGTTTGTTTGTAGGTGTGTTAATTTGTGTTTGTGTATGTTTCTGGGGGGTGTAATTTGTGTGTATAATGTGTGTATGTGAGTGTGTGAGTGTGAAAGTGTGTGTCTTTGCAGCCGCACCAACAATAGTCCTATATCACTGGCGGCAGACGTAGAGGCCGTGGGTCTGACTCGGTCCAGTGAGTGATTGTGTGACAGGCGAAAAGATCACGTGTTGGGGGTTTGGCATCAGCAGCTTTAATTTCTAAATTCAGGATCATTTTCTGAAAGTGTTTGATGAAACCTGACTTTTTGCTGTGGTTGTTTGTTTTTGGGGAGGGTTTTTTCACCTTGTAACTTGTAGTGCTACTTCAAACAGGTCGTGCTGTTGCGAAGAAGAAATAGCCCAGTATCCCGGATGTGGTTCTTCAAGCATTTTTCTCTCCCTTATAATTATATCACTGACATCACACACAGTATGTGTCACTTCAAAAGTGATAACATACCTTTTTTTTAAAGCTCATTGACATGTTTCCACCACAATGAATCTTTCACTTCTCTGAAGCACTTTGATTTAGGACGTCTATGATTTAACATGTGTCTTCAATAGAACTTGAGATATTTACGTTGGAAAGAGAGAGTTTGGTGGAGGGGGGGCTGCCTAGTTTCAGAGGCAAAATTAGTGAGATAATGGCTTCCAAAGTTTGGTGACTTCCGTAGCTTGAGAATCCTTGGAAACTGAAAAAAAAGTTTTGTGCCTTTAATCAAGATGTTCCAGTAAAATCCACCCAGAATTGTGTTTTTGAATGGACATAAAAATGTTGAGCCCAAAATACAAATTTGGATTTAAAAAAAAGGTTTTCCCCAAGGTTTTTTGTTGCTTCTGTGGATAAAGATAAAATGAGATTTTCAAAGCAGACAGTTGAGACAGTTGTGAAGTCTAAGATGTCGTTTATCCAAGGTTGAGGTGGTTCGGAGCTTTTGTACCATGCAAAAATGTCACCATCTGCCTCAGTTTCACACACACCCCCCCCTCGTCATCTGTCCGCAAGCCGTGCTCTGCTCTCCCTGTACCGGTGCCCTACATGGTGGGCAAACCATTACTTGTTGTTGCTTTTACTTTTCTAATGTTGATCACGAGTGATAATTTACTGTTGTAGATTTTTTTTTCTTTCAGGACATAATTTTTAGTACAGTGCAGCCTCTCTATAAAGACCTTCGATATAACAACATCCTCTGAGCGACATGGTGATCAGGTCCCGATTTTTTCTTTATATATCGTTACTAATTTTTCGTTCCCTTTCTATTTAACTATTATGTCAACTCTCTATAACTATAGCAACATTTTTTTCTGGTCCCGACTATGTCGTTATATAGAGGCTGCACTGTACATTGTAATTGTATGTGTAGAGAAGACATAATTTCTGTTGTTACTAATGTTACTCTGGTACGTTCAGAACAAAAGCACAAAAAAAAGGAAATAAAAGCAAGATTTGGTAGTCCAGCTTTTACACATGGAGACTGTTTGTGTTTGGTCACAGTCAGTAGATGGCGGGGTTAAGCTTTGGCCCTACCACGTGTTTTTGTTCATGATTGGCAAACTTCCCACAGCATTGTCTCCACAAAACTGTGTCTACTTAGTATGCCAGTAAATGAGGCATCACCTCATTTATTATTACAAGCTTGCCAGCACTTTCGAAACCCAAACAGGGACACCCAATGTTAGAGCTTCAGATTGCGTAACGATGAACAAACTGACATCGAGTGAGACTGGGTTTTGGTGTAGTGTATGTGATAAGGTTATAATGTCCTCTCAAATTCCCGATTGCCAAATTTGGGACAGTCCTGAGGAAATCCGAGTCAATTGGCGAGTGTGTTGTTGGTCAAGAGTTCCGTAGCAGGTTTTTTTCTTCTGTCACAACTGTTAATAAATTCTTCAGTCAAAAGTCAGGGTTTTCATGAGCAGTTCATCTTGATACTTTACGGCAAATATGCCAAACTGCATAATACTTTGTATTATCTTTTCAAAAAATATTTGTCCTTGACAAAGTGTTTTTCTACCAAAAAATTTGTTCTTAATTCTTTGCTGCATCTACTACCATTTGCGTGAATAATGGAACATGTTTTTTTTTTTAAGCTTCCTACACTAATCAACGACCTTTTTCGTCATGTGCTTTGTATATATGTGGACGATATCTACAGCATTATATTCAGAAGCGGTGCCATAAAGAAGAAAGTAAGTTTGTGTGGACAATCTGAGAGCAGCAGTGAGGTCACAATCTTTTGTTTTCCTCAAATAAACTGTCTGAGTTTTCTCCCCCATTAGGCTACATTGTTGAACAAGATTTGCGAGACATAATTCCTGGTGTGTGCTCAGTTGCTGTCTGTGTGGACAAGTCAGCTGGTCTGTTGTGTAGTGGGATGTACGTGGATGTCGAACGTTTATTTGAAAGTTTGACAAGTGGAGATTCTGGAATGAAAAGGTTCCTCTCGGAATGTTTGTTTTCAATTGTTCGGAGTTGGAGGGGCGTGGAGCCTTGGCCTGTACTCTCCTTGTATCGTATGTGGTGAAAAAGTGACAGCTCCTTGTCCATTATTTTCTGAGATAACACCATGATAATTTTGTTCTTCATTTGAGGGGGATAGAGTGTGAGAAAATGTTAGCCTCAAATATATACAGTATATCAACAATGAGTGTAAACTGAGTTGGATAGAGAGTGTGAGAAAATGTTGAGTCTGAGAGTGAGGTGTGTAGTGTGTGCTAAGAGTAGGCAGTTTAGTGAACGCGCTCGTGGCAGGGCGAATCGGCCGCGGTACGCCCCGTAGATTTTTGTGACCGGCCGTGAAGCCTCGTGAAGTTAGAATAAACAGGCGGGGGAAAGTGGGTAGTGGTAGTTTGTACAGGTGATTGTTTTAGTCAGGAGGCGGTTAGAGCAGGTTCGACTGTTATGTAGTCAAAATATCTCTGTGATGAATTCTGGATGTGATCTTCTGCGTGTAGCTTTCTCAAGGGTTAAAAATATTTTTATCCAGCATGTGGAAACTAGGTTTCTACTGTGATGATGTAATCTTGCTGGAGTTTTTTTTTGTTTGTCAGCTGATGTCTCATTGTGTCTCATTACATGCATGTTTACAAGAGTGTCATTACCCCCTCTTGCCAATTGATCTTTTCTCATATATAGTAGTAGTTTTTCCACATGCATATATTCAACTATAAAACATGTATATGGTCTCGGCACACATCATTTCTCAGTCACTGATAACATCTCGTAATACTGAACAGGAAAATAGAAAAATGTGATAAAACGTGCAATATGGCAACGAGACTTGGTCTGATCGTCATCAGAGGTACTAGCTCCGAGACCTCTTACTCAAGAATGAAAGGTTATTATAATTGTTGAATGTGTCACGACATGGTGGAATCAGGAGCTCGTCAATTATTTGGCATTTCTAGTTAAAGCTTGTTCATTTGTTTTACTTTTGATGAATACAATATCCATAGACTAACTAGAATAGAAGTTGAGATATTTGTGACTGAAGGAGATCGTGGTTGTATAGTGTCAATAGGTAAAAATAGCAAGAAAATGGCTGCCAAAGTCTGGTGAATTCCAAAACTTGAGTGTCCTTGGATACTGAAAATTTACATTATTTTGTGCCTTTTACTTTGATCAAATGCCGAAATATGTTTTAAATGGAAAATAAAAGGTGTTTAACTTTTAAAAAATAAAGATAATATTGCTCTGTGGGCAGAAAAATGTCGGTTTCTTCATCAGTTCTCATTATTTTGGCGAGCGCTTGATTTCACTGCAATGTCACACCGTTGATTTACCGCAATGACACGCTACTGAATGTATCAATGTATAGCTCTGACATATCTAGTCTGTGAGAGTAAAAGATTCAAGTGTGAGCTCATTATAAATGTTCTCCCCCTATAAATTTGAAGAACAGTGCAGCTTTCCTCTCCCTTTCCTTTTATTAATTTTGTACTGTTTTCTTCTATGCATCATGTTACACCCAAGCCCCCATCCCCACATTTGTAGATTGTTTATAGTAACAACATATTAAATTGTTGCTGTCACAAGGAAATGTTGAACTCGGCTTCACTTGACGAGTCATGAACATTTCTGAGTTCCTCATTTTCTTGTGGCAGTTGTGATGTACGAAGATTGTACGTACCTAGCCTGATGAATGCTGTGAATAAACCACTTGTTCGTACACTTGAGACTCAAATATTATTAAACGGCTGTATATTGCACTTGTTGTTTTAAAAGTAAAATGAATAACACCTTTCTGGTGGGTGGTTGGCAGGTGTTCTGGTGTAGTTTGCAACTGCTTTCCTATCAAACATCTGTCATCCTTATCTCTCATCTCTTCATTTTGAATGTTACTCTCTCGTGACCTTTTATCTTCAGCACATTTATGTAACCTATTGAGTTGCAAGTGTTGTAAAACTCTTACTTACCGGTACTAAAACTAAAACTATATATATGTGAGGCAGCATGGTGAAATCAGCCACTCATCAAAATAGTCAAAGTGAAGAAATTGGCATTTTTTTGCAGGTTTGGGAATTTTTATAGAATTTTTGTTTTTCGGCTCTACACCTTTCCCGCCCTTTAAAGAACACATTTCTGTGTGGATTGTGCTGAAAAAGGTTGATTTAAGGCAAAAGAGATGTAAATTTTTAGTTTAGATGGGCTCTCAAGTTTAGGAAATAACTCAACTTTGGCGTCCATTTTCTCGCTAATTTTACCTCTGAAACAAGGCCACCCCACCTCCTTCAATCACCAATATCTTGACTTCTATCCAAGATAAAAAGATTTGTTTTCATCAAAAGCAAGGCAAATGGACAAGCTTTAAGATGATACCAATAACTCCATATGCCCCAAAATTGACAAGAGCCTGGTTCCACCGTGTTGTGACACATATGCAGTTTTTATAATTTTACAGGAGAACAAAAAACCTGAATGTTGTTACCAAGAAAACAATATTTCTTTACTTTTAATAATTATAGTAGGAAGTTGTCAGAATTGTATTCTAAAGAATATTGAGTACTTTGAAAAATGAGAGCAGATATATTATATATATATATATATATATATATATATATGTGAGGCAGTGTGGTGGAATCAGGCTCTCGTCAAAATAATCAAAGTGAAGAAACTTGCATTTTTCTGCCGGTTTATGAATTTTTATCTATGTTTTTTTTTTTTGCTCAACACCTTCCATGCCCATTAAAGAACTCATTTCTGTGTGGATTTTTCTGAAAAACGTTGATTAAAGGCACAAAGAAAGTAAATTTTCAGTTACCACGGACTCTAGGTATGGAAATAACTAATCTTTGGCGGCCATTTTAACACTAATTTTACCTCTGAAAACAGGTGACCCCCACCTCCTTCTTTCGCAAAAATCTCGACTTGTATTCAAGGTAAATGGATATTTTTTTCATCCAAATAAAGACAAATGAACAAGCTGTAAGATGATACCAATAACTCAACATGCCCAAAAATTGACGAGAGCCTGATTCCACCACGCTGCCTCACATATATATATATATATATATATATGACATGTGTGTGACATGTACACCTGAGCTAAGTGGGTTGAACCTCACACATGTGTACCCCTGAGCTAAGTGGATAGAATGATCCGGAAAAAGAAGTGGACCCGAGATTGTACCCGAGAGATAATTGGACAGGTGTCTGTGCTGTACAGTGGAACTCGGATTCAACGAGCTCGGATTCAACGAGAACTCGGATTCAGCGAGATGAGATAGATTCCCCGTTTTTTTTCTTCTTTACAATCATTGAAAATAACCCGCATTCAACGAGCACTTAAATCAACGAGCTCGGATTCAACGAGGTCGCTTCCAGGGTGAACAGCCCCCACCGACGTGGTTTCGCTCATTTTTCTCCCAGAACGAACTTTATCTGTTCCCGGAAACTATCCATTGCACCTGCATCATGAACCAGTATTCACTTACCCGATTGCATGCGACCAATCAGCGGCCTTTTTTCATACTAACACATGCGTTATTGGCTCGCGCATGTGTGACTGTGTGTGTGTGTGTCGCGGAGGGGGGGGGGGGGCGCACTTAGCGATCCGGGCGTTGAATGTGGCAGATACAAATGCGTCACAGTCTTTTTTCCCCTCGGCAACTGATCATTATTATAGTGATAAGCTAGTCTTGACGTAGATCTTCGTAATAAATTGTGCGCCTGTCTATGGAATCAAAAGTTGCCGTATGCTAGGCTCTACACAACAACCCAACTTTTTGGTAAACAATCAAGATGACACAGGAGTGAATTTGAACGAATCTGTCTTTTTTTTACACAGCTCATAATATGCAGGCATTTCAGGCACTACTTGTGACTTCTCTTTATACATTACTTTCTCAGTGCCTGTAATTATCTACACAAAACCTCGTGTTTGCTATACTATAACGAACACTAGGATTCAACGAGATTTTAGGTCAGGCCCGGCGACCTCGTTGAATCCGAGTTCCACTGTAGTGGCTAGGGGCTTCACCGTTGCATGCAAAAGATGCAAGTTCGATTACCATATGGGAGGTTTTATGTATAGAGAGTAACTTGGTCCATCTGCTGGGAGCCTGTGTATCCCTCTCTTTCTAAATTAATTGTGTGTGGGACTGTAAATCTAGTACATCAACTGTCTACCCTGTGTGTACGGGACTGTACATCAACTGTCTACACTGTGTGTACTTATCTAGAACATCAACTGTCTACACTGTGTGTACTTACCTAGTACATCAACTGTCTACACTGTGTGTACTTATCTAGTACATCAACTGTCTACATGTCTACACTGTGTGTACTTATCTGGTACATCAACTCTCTACACTGTGTGTACTTACCTAGTACATCAACTGTCTACACTGTGTCACTGTGTGTACTTATCTAGTATATCAACTGTCTACACTGTGTGTACTTACCTGGTACATCAACTGTCTACACTGTGTGTACTTACCTGGTACATCAACTGTCTACACTGTGTGTACGGGAACATCTACATTGACATGGAGGTGGTTGGGTCCACTGGTCCTAGATGAATATTTTCCCACTTCAGCGACGAAATCAGGCCAAGCAAAACATGGATGGACAGAGTCAAGAAACCCTTCAAAAAAACAATTATGTGTCTCTGCCGGTCAATATCAGTCATATGAACGACATTTCAAAACTGAGTTAACGTTATTTTAAAAAACAATCACCTTTTCCCTACAATTTATAACAAGAATGAAGTAAATATGACCATATTTGACGAAAATACAGAGTTTTTAATTGTGCGAGGTGAGAAAACACGAAAAGGAGAAAATGGCCTCCGAAGTTGAGCAACATGTTTCCATAGCAATAGGGGTCTTAGAATTGAGATAGAGACTTGAAATGTATAGTCGATTATAGTTATAGTCATTTATTTTTACCTTAAATGAAGCTGAAGACATATAACTTTTAATTGATCCAAAAAACAAAAATTTCATGGAAAGTCACTTTTTTTGACTTTCGAGCCCCGAAGCTTATAATAATAGCACACTGCGTCTTACGACTGATATTGACTGGGGGAGACAGAAAAGAGGATCTGAAAATAACAATACATAGCCCACGTCTGAAAACGACATCTCCCCTCGACACCATGTTACAAGAGGACAGACAACGAGGACAGACAACTTGAAGCTTTTTCTTTCCTCATTACTATCGTCATTTTTCCTCTACTTCTCTTGCATGTTTGTCACTCTCTTATGAACTATCTCCAGGGTGCCTTGATATTCGAAGCAGACTTGAGCTGTTGAGGCTAGAGAGGCGAGCAGAGTAAGCCTGATTTCCCATTTGGACTTCTCTGTTGACATCCACACCTTGGCCCTCATATGACCTTATCAGCACTATGCAGTTGAGAGCGCCGTAAAACCTTATTAAAAGAAAACAATGTTAAGTAAAAGTAAAAATGACAAATTCACAAAAACAGGAAGCTTTGTTTTGATGAGATGTTTATTGGAACAAAGAATGTACCGGTACTTTCACACCAATCTCACAAGTTACAGAGTCACAACATATTTACACCTGACCCAGCCTATCTGCTCACACACAAATGTAAAATTATGAGGTAAGTGAGTTATTATTATTATTCACAGTTCACAGCTCTCTGGAAGGAATAGAAAAGTCAATACAGATGATGGTTCGTCCCTTGACTTTGGCCAACAGATAGAATAATTAATTGAAACATTTATTTCTTTATGCAATTGCCTCTTCAAATGATATTATTCTTTACAGAAACATTCTCTCTCTCTCTCTATATATATATATATATTTACAACTGAGTGAATTCATACATGGAAATGAATTCAGCTGCCACGCAGAATAAAGCTTCATTATTAGAGCCACTGACGAGATTTTGTCAGTTCAATTTTTTGATGGAACAACCCGAAGTTCATGACAGCCAACTTGGCAACTGGGGTACAAAAAAAAATCTCAGAAACCAGTTGCACTACTCTTTTACAATTTTTATGCACGAGTGCAGTTTTAAGACTGTATATATATATACCTGTATGCAGTTATTTTGTATACGTGTATGCAGTTCTTGTTATATACTTCTACACTGAGCACAATATTTAGGTACAGTAGGAATTTACAGGTCTATAGGTGTATACGTGTCAGTTGAATGAGAGAGAAAACTAGAAGCAAAGAGGGGAGGGGGGGTCTTACTTGATACAAATATACGTGTGCAGAATATGAGAACATGAACTACAGTATGACTCTTCACTACAACAGCAAGAACCTTATACCAGATTTAGAAAAAAACTTTTGTCAAGACTCAAGTTGGTTGAAAAGTCCACTAAAAGTCGGAAAAAATACGTTGTTATCATGGTTAGAACTTAGATATTGCACAACTGAGCACACAGACAATCCTTAGAACTTAACGAGTACGACTAAAAACCAGAGCCCAGTGGCTGAGGTTTCCAGTACCGTATCTTTCTACTTTCTACATGATACGCTGTGATATATTCATCCCCCATACAGGAAATACACATACCTAATGTGGAACACAGTCCTTGGCGCATTTATGACTGTGATTTAAAAAAAAAAAAACTTTCAGAATACAACAGTTGAGCGATCCAACAGCCATGTGCATAACATGCTGCAAACATTTTTGCTCTTCTCTCCAACTTTCGTTCTTTATGAGTGCAGTACAGACTACAGAATAGAAGAGACAAGTTGTTTTGATACAGACTATAAAACAGGCAGACTGTTGTAACAACAGTGAGGACTGCCTGTTTGTCTTGTGTGTGAAGAATACAGTGTCCAAAATTTGCGTCTGGTGTTGCTGACTGAACAATCCACCGATTTCTCACTTATCTCAGACTCTGAACTAGCAGCACAGGTTTCAATCATGCATCATCAACAGACCGACATTGCAAATTAACGAAGATCACAGATTTGTTGAAATTGACTTAAAAAAGGTTGGGTCAACAATATAGAAATTATACAGAGATGAGGAATTGAACATGAATTTTTGTAAACACCTTTCTAAACTATACAGGGGAAAAAAGGCAAAATTCTAATACATTTTGATTAGTACTATACAGAATCTAACATCAATTTATATTTTGATACATAATTTATCATTCCACTAAATACCAATACTCCTGCACCTCTACTAGAAAAAAATATTGAAGGGCAAAAAAAAAAAGTAGAAGAAAAACATTTTTAATTTTAAAAATACCATAACAAAGAGCACATATATGAATATTCTTTACATATCATGAGTATTTCCCTAACACCAAATAACAATATACAGCAAAAACAACAGAAAATAGACCCCACCCTATCCAAAATTTTTAAAAAACCCATTAGAACACCAAAAAGTAGAGGATATATCCGAGTTTCTCTAAACAACCCAGAACAAAATATACAAGCAGCAAAATCAATTGACAGGATTTCCTGTGGGACTGGGACATCGTGGGCTCAGTGGTACAAACCAAACCACTCCACCGCAGAAACTTGTTTTTCACATTCTAAGAACAGAAAAAAGGAACACAGGAGACACCAAAAAAAAAAAAAAAAAAAAAAAAAAAAAAAAAAAAAAAAAAAAAAAAATGTGGGCGAGTACGAGGAATGATAATGAACAAAGTATAGCTCAACAAACCCCCTTCACCTTGTCATATCCAGCAGCATGGATATTTTAAGTTCAGCATTTTGTGACCTCCTGAACGTGTTCATTAGGACAATATACACATATTGTATATTTCCTGAATGTGTTCATTAGGACAATATACACATATTGTATATCTCCTGAATGTGTTCATTAGGACAATATACATATCTTTGTATATCCCCTGAATGTGTTCATTAGGACAATATACATATATATATATATAATGTGTTCATTTGGTCAATGTACACATTTTGCATATCTCTCCTGAACATGTTCATTAGGGCAATGAATACAGACAAAAATCTGCTTATATATCTGAGCGAGACAGAACACAACAACAGAAGACAGACATAGAATCTTTCACAGAGGGAAAAGAACTAAAAAAAAGACCTAACAGTAGCATGCTATCATGAACAGTGCAGTGACAGTAAAAGCTGAATCTTGTAGCTCAGGCCATGCCCTACTCCACAATTAGGAAAACGCTCGTCGTAATTCTGCTTTTGAAAAAAGAAAAGTCGTCGAAAAGCATAGGTCATAAATTAGCTCTCATTTTTACCAACTACTGTATATATATGGTCAGCTGGACGATAAAGAATTATTTAAAACACATTTCTCGCTACAACTGAGAGCAGAACACCAAAACAAGAATATTCCGTTAGAGTTAGACCTGAGACAGTTTGAGAAAAGAGACATTCACAGGACATTCTTCGTAGTAGGCCTACTCAACTTTTTGATTTCCCCTAAAAGCTGTGGATAATGATCACAACATTCAAAGCTCAGCTCACCATAAAATGTAAACAATCTGCCACATCAGACACAAATATTATTTATAGCACCTAATATAGTCCAACTTACAATACCAATTCAAAAATTGACAGTTTGCATGTTCACCATAAATTGACAGTATGTATGTTCACCATTGAAAAGTGTCACTCAAAATTTCTTTTGAATTTCTTGACACACTTTCTTCACTTTACTACCAAACAGTAAAAAAAAAAAAAAAATCGAAGACCATTCAGCATAGAATAACCAGAAATGTTTAGACTTTATGATCATTTGACATGATTCAGAAAAATCTGGAGGGATAACAATATGTCGAGGTCAGGGTTAAAGAAATCATTTCAATTCTCTTTACACTACACTACACTGGGAATATCAAGGTGAACGCACACAAAAAGCTGTGATCTTGAGGCTTTCACAAGTGAGTAACAAGCTGAAACGTTAGCACCAGATCATCTGAAGTGTACAAAGTCTGTGAGCAACAATTATAAACAAATATCAGATCAGGGAATCTTGGAGAACAAAACTTTGCCCGCTGTGCAGGAAGACAGACTCACGATACACACGTCTTTTTTTACATTTTCATTTACATAATCTGATTCCTCTTAATCTTTCTGTGCATCCATTGACATAGCTTGTGGATCTAGTCAACATTCTCATCACTTATTTCTGCATGCAATACTCCCTAAAGCCAGCACATGTTTCCTCTTCCTTTCTTCAGATAACACATGATAAGAGGTAAATTTGCATATATATATTACAAAATTCCCAAAGTTATGACAACAGGAGCTTTGGAGCGCTGTTCAGTGGAGCACCAATAGAGGGAAGCATAGGACAGGTAATGTCTTCTTCCTGTGTTACTTGAGAAGAATTAAGATGTTATGAACTCTGCCTCAAGTTGACCTAGCCACAACAACTTTGATTCCTATGACAAACATACATCATTGTAAAGCGTCTATATTAAAATTATAATTATTCCAGCACAAACATCGTCTCTCAGCTGAGTTTACGTTCTCACAATCACTTATTATGCTTCATGAGTCCAGAAGCTTAGCAGACACTGCACTTACGTTGAGGGTTGAGCAGAAAAACAGAGGGCGAAGAGAAAGAAAGACCACCAGAAGTGTTAAGTGAAATAATACCACACACACCTGTGACAAAGACACAATCTACAGGATGAAAGGTCCTCTAAACACAAGAGGTGAACAGCCTAAGACTTTGATTTCAGCAAATAAGTACACAAGGACACACAGATCAATGACAAAGACACAAAGACCAATGACCAAACACTCGGCCAGATCGGCAATAGTTGCCCTGGACATGAAAAAGACAAAAGGACAATTATGCTCAGCCTGTCTTCTTTTGAGTTCGAGTGAAAAATCCCACTTATGGTCTTAAAAAGGAATACCCACACAAGAACTAAAAGATAGGAAAAAAGCCGAAGGTAATGAGAAATGCACCCCCCGGATTCAGTAGAAATCATTCCAAAGTTCTACCCCAGTACTGTAACTGTAACCATACAGCTACCACATAGTTCTACCCCAGTAGATACTAGAAAGCCACTAATCCCCAGGCAGCGGAATATAACAAGAAAATTTTAAAAGCTTACTTTCAGTTACGACCCCTCTCCACATCAACAACAATATGACGCATTTGACTTGAGCTCCAGTGGTCACTCAGTGGGCTACAGTACTCAACTTCACGTCTAACACGAGGAACATTCAAGTTCACAAGATACACATGTGCAGCAAAATTGTACAGTTAACCACACAAAATGTCAGCTCGGAAACTCCACAGACGTAAAAACTCTGCACTTCTAGGGCCAGGGAGGCCACTCTAAGACCAGAAGTAACAAAAGGAAAAGAGAGAGAGAGAGAGAGAGAGAGAGAGAGAGAGAGAGAGAGAGAGAGAGAGAGAGAGGGAGTGAGAGGGAGTGAGAGGGAGGGAGGGAGGGAGGGAGGGAGGGAGGGCCGGAGGGAGGAAGAGAGAGAGAGAGAGAGAGAGAGAGAGAGAGAGAGAGGGGGGGAAAAAGAAAAACAGACGAGCAGAGTAGACAGTCTTCAACTGCCATAAAATGTCTTAAAACTTTGCTCATCAAATTGAAAATAACATTGAACATATTAGTTGAGACTTCTAAGCCAAAACATGAGATCAAACCCCTCAAGTAACCTACTCAAACCAAAGCACAGAGAACAAAGAATCCAGAAGAAAAAACTAAAAAAATACAACAAACCGCTCAACAGAAAAGAAACAACAAGCAAAAACAGGGCAGCAGTTTTGAAGTCTATCAATTCAATTATACTTGCCAAAGTTTAAAAAAAATAAATTTTTTTAGCCCCTCTTGAAAAAGGCAAACTCACACATAAAAGTTTCGACCTTAGATCATATAATGTAACAATTCTGCAAACTGATGATAAAATACTGAAGTTCCCTCTCTAACCACAGACAACCTCCTTCTTTCCCCAACAAGCCTGAGGGAAAGTACTGAGACCACAACCAGATTAGTAATATTTGGTATCAAAATCATCTAACACCAAAAATATAGATTAAATAAACATCAGAAAATATTTAATTGACCACAACAGGGTCTCCGAGCTGTAAGTAGTAGCACATGTCACATTGTCATTCGTCATACTGTCATCTCGTCATATTGCGACTAACAAAAAACAATAATTGCTGTACAGTCCGGTTCCCCTACACCCCAGACCACTTCTTGTTCCTCTCACACTCCCGACTTCCCATAGCTGTCAGTGAGGGCTTGGATTCCAATCCTCATCATTAGCTGTCTGTAATCATCTCCAAATAATGCTTATGATAGGATTGCCAATCAAAAACGTTAATCTACAACAGACAATCAAACACACCATTGGAACATCAACAGCAAAATCTTATAAAGCTTTCCAAAACAAAACAAAAAATCAGGAAAATATAAAACATGAAACACCCCCGATATGTGTTTAAAAAAACAACAAATAACTTCTAAAAATAAAAACAAATAACTTCTAAAAATAAACCCTAAACAATTACTCTTAAACAATTACTCTCCCCTCACCAAAAACAACAACCAAAACCCTTGACCAATCTGAAAAAGTAGAGAGCATCTAGGTGTCTGCTACCAGTGAACATCAAAGATAAAAGCTGTTTATGAATGTTGCAGACACATCAGTAAGAAAAACTCCAACCAAACCCAACAGTGAGAACAAAATTACCAGAAAATATAATAAACATCTTATTGCTATTATGTATTAAAGCAGTTTTTATTCTGTAAGTTTTCCCCAGCCTTGGAATAAGACAAAATACAACTTTAGTGATAAGGGATTTATGTGAAGAAATCATCACCTTCAATATTTTGGTGCACAAAGAGAGGTAAACAATCTACGGCTAGTAATAAAATGTAAAGAAGAGATACACATACACACATGTATATATAATATACATATTATATGTAATACACGTATCATATAGAGACGAAATAAAAAAAAAGGAGGACACGTTGAGACTAATCTTGAACATGTGAGAATAAAATACCCATCGCCAAGCCATGGAAAAGTTTCAGTCTTGAGCATTGCATGTTTCAGCATTACGTTCCTTCCTGCATAAACAATAAACAAGTGTCCACTAAAATAATCATTAAAAAACAACTAGTAGATGGAGAGAATGGACAAAAACTACAGGATTATTGGATACACACAGGTTATTTCAAACAATGTCTTGCACAAAGAATATAATTTTTTTTAAAAGATAAAAAATGGAAAAAGTTCGACATAAGGCAAGTCTAAGGAGTAAACAGGAGACCCTTACACCCCCCCCCCCCCTCCCCCTCACTATCAGGAGAATTATAATACGTCTAAGGAGACCAGCATTATACGCGCTGACACATGCGGCCAGACTTGCAGCTGGACGGACGGCTCCGCTTGCTCCGCTTGGTGTTGCCCTTGGGGCAGCCCTTGTACTCGTACACTTTGTTCTCCCGGCGGCACTTCTGCCGACTCACTGCCTTGTTGCTCTTGCCGCTCTGTACCCTCTGAGCCGCGTGCAGCCGGGCCACTGCCTGAGCGGGGGAGACCTGGGCCGGCGCGGCGAATCCCCAGTGTCTGCCGAGCCCCTCCCGGTGGGCACGGTGGGCCGCGGGCAGCTGTTCTCCCACTGGCAACTGGTGGGTGCGGTCCTCGCGCAGTGCGTCACCCGGCTCACCGCTGTCGTCTCCACTGTCCCGGGGCTCGGAGCTAGCCGGCGCCGACTCCCCTGCGAGATGAGCCAAATGGAAGGGGTGTGAGGGGGGCAAAGAGGAGGGCGGGACAGACAGGTACACAGACATGGACGGGTGCTCGATCAGCAGATTCTCCAAGGGGCTGGACGAGATGGTGGGGAGCTCCCCCAGCCCGGAGCCCGTGAAGCACGGGGGTGGGGCCACGATCCACGGGTCGTGACTAGAACCCGAGGGCCTGTAGGTGGCATGGGAACGGCCCGAGCACACCGAGAACACCGACTCTGGGGACGACGGTCGCACACCCGAGTCCCCTCCACTCTCACCGTCGGAGGAATAATTACTGTCCAAGTCAAAGTTATTGAGATTCATAGTACAGTCTTGTAGGGCGCCCTGCACAGAGTCTGAACAGCCCGTCAAAGGATTATACGAGCACCGGAGACTAGCGGCTTCATCAAGCTCAATGTCAGACGCGCCTGGCGGGGCCGGGGCCTGTGCCAGGGCCGATGGCTCGTGTGAGTCATTCACTGTCGCAGGTCGGGCGTGGTGATGGTGGTGGTGGTGAGGGTGATGATGGCGATGTGGATGGTGTTGGTGAGGATGAGCGTGGTGAGAGGGATGATGGCCTTCGTTTTCCTTACCTGGAAAAAAGGAGGGTTAAATTGTTCATCAACTTTTCATGGGTAAAAAAAACTAGCCCAAGAAGATGAAAACAAATGTAGCATCATTATTTTATTGTCAACATCACTCACAATACATTGTGAAAAAACTGACAAACTTTCCACATTTTTATGAAAATGAACAGAGAAGACATGACATTGTAGTTATAATGTTCAAATCTCCTATTATATCTCAATTATGTGTAACATAACACACACAGAGGCCAGTGTGTAACATAATAACACACATACAGGATAAGGTGCCGTGGAACATGACAACAAAGCTGAATCATGTTATGTAACTGGCCCTATCCAGGCACAGCTCTCTGGCTACAATCACTGAGGTGAGGAGATCATCAGGGAGCCACACTCACTCACAGACTATCCTAGCAGTAGGCTGCACTAAAAAATATAGGGAAGACCGGAGGAAACACTTTGAACCTCATTTTATTTTTAAATGTGGAGAGCACAGAGAGGGGCAGTGAGGTTTTAGTAAGCGTACAACGGCACTTGCAATAAAATTAGGTCATATAAGTGCCAAAGATTAAAGGTGTTACAAGAGAGTAACCAATACAAAAAAGGAGGAGAGATAAAGACGAAAGACGATAGTTGTTTGATTGATAAGAAAGAAGGAGCAAACCCCACCAAAGCACCCGCCAACCACCCACTGGGGCAGTAAATGACAGTGAGTGGCAGCGAGTGATTAACAGTGAGTGACAAGGAGTGATAACAAATGAGAGCGAGCGGCTGACGTACCAGGCTGTCCCACCACCAGCCAGTCGTCATCGTCTTGGTGGATGGCCAGGTCCAGTTGCTCTCCTGCGGTGTCCGCCTGGCCACTCACTTCCATGTAGCCCTGCTCCACCTCATTGGCGTCGCCCCACAAGTACTTGGCCACAGAGTTGAACATGGTGTGCCTGACGGAAAAAGGAAAAAAAACTACAGTGACTGACTGGCTGTATCGAAACAATGTAGTTACTTTGCTAGTCACTTCATCAAGACAAATTTTAATGTGTCACGACGCAGTGGAATCAGGCGCTCGTCAATTTTGGGGCATATGAAGTTATTTGTATCATCTTAAAGCCTGTCCATTTGTCTTGCTTTTGATGAAAAAGGTATAAATTTGTCTTGAATACAAGTCAAGATATTGGCAGTTGATTGAAACAAGCCCAAACAAACCCTGATACATATCACGTATCAGACAACTACTGAACAAACCCTGATACATATCATGTATCAGACAACTACTGAACAAACCCTGATACATATCATGTATCAGACAACTACTGAACAAACCCTGATACATATCATGTATCAGACAACTACTGAACAAACTTTGATTCAATGATTCATGTACGAGGCAACTACTGAGTATCAGTATATATCAGTTTAGTGAGATGAGTTTTACGGCACTTGAAACACAATAAGGTCATACAAGTGCCAAAGATTAGAGGTGTTACAAGAGGTAACTGACATGAAAAAGAAGGAGAGTAGATAAAGACGATACTAGATGTTTGATAGGAAAGAAGAAGGAACATCCAGCATGAGAATGGAGATATAAGCAATCACTCAGGCTCTCAAATGGGTCACAACAACTCGACAAGCACATGTGGTCTTCATCACAGACTCTCACAGCACTCTGAGGAAGATTGAAAGTGGGAACCTTAGAGCTGAATGGACAGAGCTCCTGAAGAAGACAACACTGAAAAAGATCACGTGGATCTTCACCCTGGGCCATGCTGGAGTCAAGGGCAATGAGCGGGCTGATCAGCTCGCTGGGAAAGCAAAACCAGAAGGGAAGCTGTGCAATTTAAGAACAAGAAGAGATGGAATACCATCATCTTGAGCGACTTCATGAGCTTGAAATTGGATGGGGCGCCTGCAGAAGTTCAAGACTAGTGGGAGGAGCAGAAGGCTATGGAATCAACTATTGCTTGGAACCGTCAGCATCTACACACTTCGAGATGTGCTTCTTCAGGGGACGGAGCGCTTATGGGAATGCCCCTTGTGCAGTGATGTCGGTCCTTCACACAAATAAACAAGGAAAGAAGAAGCAAACCACACAAGAGCACCCGCCAACCACCCACCAACTACTGAACAAACCCTGATACATGTATGAGGCAACTACTGAACAAACCTAGATAATACATGTACGAGGTAACTATTTTGAAATCAAAAGACCAAAAGCTCCCCACACTTTTCAGCGCATGACTGTGGTCACAGCTGGAGTCTTATAATACACACACTATGACTAAGATAGAAGATTAGACAACCCCAAAAACCCACAAACTGAATCATTAGGATTCATAGTCAGTGCTGGCACATCCTAGTTCGAGTAAAACATGATCAAATGGCTTTTTTGTTTGTTTTTCAAATGTAACAATCCACTATTAGGAGGCTTAAAACTTAAAAATAAAATGCTCCAAAATCAAATAATTGATTGGCCCACTTTTAGGCCATGCTAAAAGAACAAATTAAAATTAAATGAGGATAAGACCGAGATATTATTTCTTCGTAGCAGCGCATGCAATGAAATCGACAATATCAGAATAAACATCAATGGCCACGAAATATCAGCCCAAACTAAAATAAGAAATTTAGGTGTGGTGCTAGATCAAGATTTGTCAATGAAATACCATGTATCCAATCTTTGTAAAAAAAATCTATATCTCCAGCTGAAGAAAATAGGGAGCATTAGAAAATATCTATCTGTTGGTGTCACCAAAACTTTAATAACATCACTTATATTGTCAAGGATTGATTATTGCAATTCCTTACTGGCTGGTGTACCTGATGAACAGTTACAACAACTACAAAGAGTACAAAATATTGCTGCCAAAATAATTACTAAAAAACTAAAGCATGATCATGTGACTCGTATTTTCAAAGCATTACACTGGCTCCCAGTGAAAGAGCATATATATCATATATATAAAATCTGTTTAACTTGCTACAAGTGCTTAAATGATTTATCACCGGACTATCTAAAACAGCTTTTAACACCTATGTGCCTCCTAGAACGCTCAGAACATCAAGTGACAAAACAACCCTTGTTAAGCCTAAAATAAATTACAAATCATATGGCCAACGCTCTTTTTCATATTTTGCCCCACTTGTTTGGAATAGGCTTCCAAAAACTATCAGGGAAGCAGAAAATCTAGAAATTTTAAAGAAGAAACTAACATCATTTCTATTTTCATCATATTTCGATTAGACAGAATGCATCCAGGCTGTAGATCGTTGTGAGTTTGTATGTGTGTGTGTGCATATGTACGTATGTGTGTATGTGAGTATGTATGTGTGTGTTTGTAAAATTGATTTGTAAATCCATTATATGTATCATGTTAAGCGCATAGAGCATTGCATAAGTGGATATGCGCTATATAAATGCAATCCATTATCATTATTATGCTATGTTCAACCTCAAATAATTTGCTTTCAGCTATTCCAAGGCAACACAGTGTTCTAAAGTGACATGATCTTCAACAGTAGAACTAGACCTAGATCTACTGACTATTGTGCAGCAACAATAACATCTCTACTAACACTCAAGATTTCACCTCTTAGTTCAGTAAGTAAATGCCTCTACATTTTTTTAACTGGATCATTTCGAAATCCGAGGTAAAAAATGTAAATACCCTGTTACACTCTGCTGAATGCTGAGAAAATGGAAAAACAAAAATAACCCTGTCAACATCAACCAGAAAAAAACCTTTCCTTGGACTCAATAACTGCTACACACAGGTAGCGCAAGTCCTGTAACAATGAAACTTTCAGGTCCGGGGCGGCCACTTGGGCGTGTGTCGGGGAGTTGGCTTATGTCACCAAACCGTGCAATCACACGGCAACTGGACTGGCGTCCCAGGCCTGGCGGGCAGACGTCAACACATTACATCAAGTCCTATAATAGCACAGCGTGGCCGCCGCTCGCTCAGACTTGTTTGTGTGTGGAGTGGTGTGGAAGTGAAGAGAGCTGCCGCGTATAGATCTAGTGTCATGTATTGTGTGTGCAGCGTCACGCCCGGCCGACCAGGACTCCCTGCCTGTTGAGGCAATGGGAGATCCACGACAACACATGAGCAGAAAGCAAAGATATTGTACTGATTGCACACTTTCTTTGTCGTCTTATATATATAATATATAAGCCTACACTGTGACCTGTAGCTGTAGTTACCCCCCCCTCCCCCCAAAATAAAACCTAACCCCACACACGGGTAGTACTGGTCCTACTCTATACACACCGCGAAAGATGACACATCCACAAAAGTAAAACACTGGAGACATGACAGCCAAGATATTGTACCATAGGCTACCATCCAATGTCAGCATATCGAGACGGCGTTGGTACTAGGCCCACAGAGATCATGAGAGATGTGTAGGCTCAGTGTTGATGCCATAACACAAAATTGGAAACTGCTTTCAAATCCCCCCCCCCCCCCCCCCCCGGAAAAAAGGACTAGATCTAGATCTAGAATATATCTATATCTATATCTAATAAAGATCTAGACTAGACTCTAATTGAAATTGAATGGCCAGAGCCATCAGGGAGCACAGGGTGCAGTACTGGTATGTGGGGAATTTCGATGAATTTTGTTCCCATGCCAACGTCCACTAGCAGCTAGATTCTAGATCAAGCTGTTGGATCCAGACATTTGAACGAGCTTTTTGATCCACTGAATAAGTAGTTGACTGAACAAAATGTAAATGTTATGAATGAGGTCAAATTTTTATATCAGGTGAATAAAGAGGAGCATCCTCAACTTGATGACTTGAAGTAAGCGACAACCACAGCTGCCGCTAGATCTAGAGAAGATCTGAAACTTTGCCAATGAGATTTATGACGACAGACCAACATTCTAACAAGTCCCAGAACTGCTCTCGTTCAATGCAAGACAAGGGCAGCTAAAATACTGCTATAGGTATCCACACTGGCTACGTTGAGATTGTCACGGGCATATGTTATGAAGTCATTTTAAAAAAATGAGAAATTGACAAGCACCCCTCCTCTCCATTCATCCACGGCAAATTCCCTGCTTCAAGGCGAGAAGAGGGACGGGGGACTTTCTACTTCTAACCAATATGGGGCTGAAATTTCACAATTTATATAACTGTAAAAGAAGAAATCCAGCGTAAAATATTTACTGCACATCACCAACAACAAAAAAGACAGAGATTCAGATTATGTGATCTTTGGACGGAGGATTTCAAGTGTCTGTGTCAGCTTGAGACAAATAAATATAAGGACGTTCGACTCAATGACCAGCAGCCTAATGAGGCCAAGACGAGAAGACGCTATCGGGGGAAAAAAAGGGGGGGGGGGAGATAAAACTTGCAGAGAGAAGGCATCCCTGAGCACGGTACAAATGTATTTTGGACAATAGACCCCAATAGACTGGGAGACTATTATGATGAGAACAAAACGGGAGTTAGCAGACACAGAGAATAAAAAGGCAGAGAATGTTTTAAAGCCATCAAAAACTGGGTTAACTGCGTCACTTGTGAGTGATCGAAATATGCAAATGAGAAGGTCATTACCTAGAATACAGCAGAGTAGAGAAGGGAGCGCCTAGAAAGAGCACACTAAATCTTTTACCCCAAACCAAAATTGAGCAACGTCTTTCCACAACACAAAATCGGCAAATGCAGAAAGCAACGTTATAGTTATACATATACATCTAGATCTATACCAATTTGATCCAAATTATATGGTAGGAGAACCGACAACACTGTCAACCTTCAGCCCGAACGAGATAATACGAAGGCCAAAACAGTAACCCAGCATCTCCGTCTCACTTGTGGAAACCTTGCCCACCAAGCCTAGATCTATGCCCTACTAAGAGATCTAATGGCCAAAACAAAGACAAATAAATACGACATGCACTACACAAAACTGACCTGCACAACTGAAATTTGTACACTGCAAACGTAGGTTACAAAATACGTGGTTAAGTCTGAGACCGAAGCTTCAAATTCGCTTTGTTGATAAACAGATTTCTAACTGACAGGAGAACAGCTGATCCAAGCCCAGCGACCACCAGTGCAAGCGTCAGCGCTTTGTTTACGTATGGGGAAACCTGTTCTTCTGATTGGTTGCTGCGTGCCCTACAAGTCGACATTGTTAATATTCATGAGGTCACGTTCCATAAATGGGGAGACTATGTTTTTATCACGTGAACACCACGAAATGCCCGGATGAAAATTATAAAATACGAAGACGCGATTCGCTGATTAAACTGTTTATGTGTGTATTTTTAGAACAGCACGTTATAAACAGCAACAACAACCCAAAATTATTTTTTTTAATGACATTAATAACCAATGTCAGTTTGAACCAACAAGATCTGCAAAGTGGAAATAATACTTATTAAAAAAAAAACGAAAGCAAATTTACTGACCAAAAGTAATCAATGACAGGGAACTTTATTCTGCACCCCCCACTCACCCCCACCCCCAATTGAACTCCCACGCATCGTCCTTTGGAAAACTAATGATCAAACTCGCAATCATCGATAGTATTATATCTAGAATCAAAATATTAAATCTAGAATTTGTATTCTAGCTGGGTCATTTATTTCCATGGAAGGCAAGGCACGGGCGTGAAAGGACGTAGCCTAGATGTGAGAACAGCAAGGAGATTAGTTCTAAACTCCTTGGGAAACAGTCACAGTCCAATAGCGTCAGTTGTGGGTTCAAACCAAGGAGCTTAATTAAAAACTAAAACAAACATCACTGTAACCTCCTTGGTTCAAACTTACAGAATTAGGGTCAGTGAAGGAGGAGGAGATGAAACGGAGGGAGGGAGACACACACACACACACACACACACAGAGAGAGAGAGAGAGAGAGAGAGAGAGAGAGAGAGAGAGAGAGAGAGGGGGGGGATGGTGGATCTGGATATCTACTGTGGTGTCACAAAATCAGTCGTGTGCACGTCACATGCGGAGAAGAATTTAACATAATCTGATTCTATACTCTTTATCTCATTACTCGACTGAGGTACTTGAAACACTTAGAAATCCAGTATGCTAACCTTTTTTTACTGTCTCATCTACGCCTGCAAATGAATTCCCAGCTTCGACTTCTAAGAATGTCTCCTTGGCACTAGTCCCGTCACGCCTACACGTAATAAATCAGTGGTGCACCCCAACCTTGTGGCACCTCTATTGAGAGAGAACACATCGACTACAAATAAATGACACACTATCACATAGGCACAGACCAGCCCTTTAAAAAAATATTATTTTGCTATGAAAGCCTACTAACTACCCCCAGACATACACCAAACACGTTACCCCCAGACATACACCAAACACGTCACCCCTAGACGTTTTCAGTCGGTTCAAGAGCAGGTTGAAGTGACTATACTATGATGCACAAGTACTGAAACTATAGACACAACAAGAATGACAGAATAGTAAAAAAGAATGTTATAGTTTTTAAAAATGAGACTGCCCAAACACAGAAAAGAGAAAGTGATTTGGTTTAATCGAAAAAAGAAGAAATTGGAAATGGAAGAGGGTCACAGGGAGACGAAGAGAGAAAAAAATGAAAATAAACACAAGAGAATTTTTTTGGGGGGAATATTTTACCCCCATTCCATGTGGAAGAAAGGAATAATATAGCTATCATAGATCTAGAAGAAAATAAGCAGGCGTCAACTGACTGACCAATATATTAAACAAAGTACAGTCTTCAGAAAGAGAGAAATAAGAAGAAATCCCACTACTCGGATCAGACTTGAACTTTGCTGTGAAATTTGCCGACAATTTGAAATTACTTTTATTGACAGGTGACAATGACATTTAAGTGATAACAAACAGAGGTAAGAACGAAAAAGAATCAACGGACAGGCCTTCCTAAGGTGGACGCTATCACACATTATAATTTTAAAACGCACACCAAAAGCAAAAAAAGGTATCATGAACAATTAATTTTAACTCAAGGCTAATTTCAAAGAAAACAGGTGAAGTACAGAAAAAGAAAGGTAATGAGTCAGGAAAATCCTTGTTTACTTTTTTAAAGAATGACCATTACCAAGTTTGGCATGATTTCAACAGCAACAATACGTACAGTATTTCTCCACCTAACACCCCGGTGCTTGGGAAGGAAAATACGGGATCGTAGTCGACGCACCAGGAGATGAATCCACAGTGACCCATGTTTAGGTCCACAACTTCTAAAATGGTCTCCCATTTTACTCTAAAATAAACTTACGTTCTGCATCTGATTCATTTTAGCTGTTTCTTCTTTGTGCACTGCTGTGTTATATTAATTCTCTACTGACGTCTGTGGTTTAGCAGTTAGACGCTTCCCTGTGGCACTCAACAGACCTGAGTTCGAATCCCGTGTAGAGAGAATGTATAAATACCATGTATCTTATCGTGCCTTGGTACTTTTGCATGGACGTTTTATTCCGCTCTGCACGGTCTGAAGCTCACCTTCTGAGTATTCCTAATTTTGCTGATAGGGGCATAATTCAAAATTAAAGAATACAAAACTAGCTGTCTCTCTCTCTCTCCCTCTCTCTCTATCCATCCATCTATCTCTGAATTCATGCTAGTGGACTAATCCATCTATCTCTGAATTCATGCTAGTGGACTAATCCATCTATCTCTGAATTCATGCTAGTGGACTAACGAGTACCCTGATTGCTCCTCAGAAAGAGGAAGAAATCAAGAAAGAGAACCAGGCACTCCAGGAAGAGATTCCTTAACTCCAGGCGGAAGTGGAGAGTCTTCAGATCAAAATTAAGCAATCTACTTCTGACGGGTGTAGCTTCAGCCAGCCAGAAAAAACTTTGACAGCTCTCACAGATTGACAGATCGTGGGTGGTTTCTCATCTCAAGCCACTCCCTAAGCAAACACTTCCAACAGCTCAGAGTTTTTGGCCTGCTGGGGTTTTTGTTCCATAAATCATTTTCCATCTTAACCATCTTGTTGCAAGTACTCATATGACCTTAGAGCATGAATCAGAATAACTTTGAATTACAATCAGAATACTGAGTATGTATCAAGCTTAACATTATTATTGTTATATTACTGTTCATTCATGATTATACATGAGACTGTAAGCCTGCGTGTGTGTGTGAGTGTGTGTGTGTGTGTGTGTCTGTGCACGCGCACGCATGGTCATGTGTATAAGTGGTGCAACACCAAACCAATGTGCCAAGATCTGGAAAATAAAAAAGATGTGTCTTCTTATCTTATCTTAAACGAGGGGTCTTAGCCGAATGTAGACCTTCAGAGTGAATCAGAGCGGGATCTTAGGAGTTACTTTTGTTTAGAAAAAAATTATGTTTTCTTAAAATTAAAAAGACAGGACCCTTTTAAAGCAAAACATGACGGTAAGCGGTGGAATCTTAGGCTGAGACAACTTGAAGTCTCCAGGACAGTGGGTTTTGTTACAGGCTTCTTTTTTTACGGCAAAAAGCAGATGTAGTTCATATAGGAATTTTAAAGGGTTCATATGATCTAAAACAGAATGCTTTTCCTCCAGAGAAACCAAAGCTGTAGAAGCACTCAAGTCAATGTGCTCCAATTCAAACCATACAAACTGTGGAACACATCCTTCAGCAGTGCAAGACGCACAGGGTCCTGAGACAAGAAACGAGGCCAACCCCACTGACACTATCAGAGAAGCTGTACTGGTTGTAAGAAAAACTGATCAGGATGGCCCATACATGATAGATACCGGCCTTTAAGTGTTATATGCGACTGAGAAAAAGAAGACATCGTACAAAAACTACTTTTTGTGGTCTTCACAACATATTTAAATATTAAACCCCCCCAGTACAGCCTAGAGGGCAGTGAAATAAATACAAATCAATATAATATTCAGACTTGACTTTGACACAGAAAAACAGAAATGACAAAAAAAAATAATGAAAGGCACTTACGATAGGTACTCATGATTGAGCTTCACCTGCAGAAATTTCTCCAGCTTCTTCTTCCAAATAAATCCGCTTGACACCAATGATAGAATGTATCCGCAGCAACTTCACAGTTAATTGAATAGCGGTGACAACAGCAGCTACCTTAATCCTTAAAACATCCACCGCCGCACCACGTACACTCTGGCACACTTGACCGTCATGAGCTATCCCACACGCAGAATCATGTGCACGGGAATGAGAGCCTTTCCTTAGTGCAAATACACCTTTTTTTATACCCCTGGGTTCGTGCATAGCCTTCTTGTGCATTAGTTTCAAAACACCTTCCAGCATTCTTATCAATAACTTACAACAAAACAATTTTTCTTTTGAAGGACTTGTCTGGATATATTTATGCACACTCTCGAATAAAAGACTGTCAAAACTTCCACCCCCTCTTACACAATTTTGAGCACATTCAAAGATCAAAGCTTTAGACAAGGAATCTTGCTCTTGGAAATCCAACCGTGATTCTACCAGGGAAGTTCCCAACACAGAGGAAGAGAAGCTATGAGCACTTCTCTTGCTTCTATTACCGTCACCACCTGAAGAAACATATTTAGATTCAGAAGCAAATAAACAATGGTTCACAGACTTGACACTTTTCCAAAACACAGATTTCAACTGACTGGCTAAGCTGTCGGTGGGTGCACACAGGAACAAGCACTGTGGATTCACCACAGAGCTGTCCTCGGGAAACAACACTTTCACATATGTTTTTGTACCATCAGAGATACTTTCAAAAGCTGCTACATTTATCACATTCTTTGTAAAAGTCCCGTAGTTTAAGGAGACTACAGGACTACAGTTTGAGAGAGATATAAAAAATTGTAGCGAAGAGTCATCATCCAACACTCCTACACTAATTCCATAAGAAAGGCAAATTTGCAAAACAAAACTTGGCACTTTTACAGACGTTAACAGAAATGAAACACCAGAATCTTTCAAAGCACCTAGAAACTCGCATGCTTTCACATACCTATGAGAAATCAGATTGTCAGAAATATCTAAACTGGCATGGAGAATATATCTTTTATTTTCAAAATCTGAAACCTCGAATGGACACTGTACGCAAACTAATTTGCCACTAGATGAAATTCCAGCCTTTGAAATCTTTCCAGCACCATGGAATCCTTTTCCAACAAATGATGATTCAAAAGGCATGCCAGCTTGACAGAACACAAGATCTTCAAAGTTTTCAGAAGCCATGTGGGCAATTTCGCCCACCCTTTCAGGATTGTTAACTGATTCCACAAGGAAGGATGTTCCAAGGGAGACAAGTTGAGACACATTGGAGTTAACTACAGAGCTGTCAAAACAGGACTGAACAATTTCAGTCACGCATTGGCGGACGAAAAGAGGTGTCCCCATAATTGGTTCATTAACTGAATAAACACGAGATTTTAAATCCTCCAGAATAAGTGGTAGATCAACTATAACAAACTCCTGCAGCCATTTTGCCACCTTGCACTTGAACGAATCCTCAGAACCAGCATCTCCCTCAGACCTGTGAGCATTCTCAACGGCACATACAATGCCATGCAGGTAGATGAGCAGAGTTTTGCTTCCGTCCCCATAGACAGAGGAATAGGAGAACACGGTGTCTACAATGCTCTTTGCTACTGGGTGAGATAGGTGCAAGCTGGACAGGACTGTTGGACCATCACACGACATGATGACCTGACCCGTGCTTGTAACGAGGAGCGCCTGCTGAGTCTTTGGGCCGTACAAGCCAGCAACAACTTGATACAATGTTGAGGTGATCAGCTTGAGGTCCTTCACTCCCTGCTTGACGACAGGAATTTCGTCGAACATTGTAGCCATTACTAACACCCAGCACAAAATCTGGAGATGAGTAGTAGTAGTATGGGGTTTTACGGCGCTTGCAACTGCATAAGGCCATATGAGCGCGCTATCTGGAGATGAAGACAAAAAAAATAGAAAAGTGAAAACAAGAAACAAAATTTCACAGCAACGTTTTGCAAGTTAAGTCAGTATAACTAACTGGCAAATATCACAATGTCCCCTTTCCACATTAGAATAAATTATTGTTTTTTTGTTTTACTTACAACCCAGGCAAGTCATAGTTCCATCGATTGAGTATAGTAATAGTAACAAAAAGAGCAAGGCTGACACCTATCATGGTTGAAAACTCTACTTTGTGCCTTCAAAGACAAGGTCCAACCCAGGGGTGGGGCCTACCCATCTACCCATGTGTGTGTATTGTGTGTGTGTGTACTATGAATGAACTGAATGAGATTGGGGGGGGGGGGAGACAGACAGACATAGAAGAGAGAGACAGAGACAGAGACAGAGACAGACAGACAGACAGAGACAAATCACAAAGACAGAAAGACAGAGACAGACAAGACAGACAGACAGAGAAAGAGAGATAGAGCATGAGGGAGAGAGAGAGAGACAGAGCGAGAAAGAGAGAGACAGAACAAGAGAGAGAGAGAGAGAAAGAGACAAACGGGACACACAGAAAGAAAGGGAGGGAGAGAAAGTAAGAGAGAGTGAGAGAGAGGGAGAAAAAGGGAGAGGGAGAGACAGAGATATCGTAAGTCTCATGCATTTTTGCTATTTATTGGTGTTAGGTTTGAAGCTGGCTGCCTTACAAGCCTGTGGCCCCACCCCCCCTCCAATCGAGTGCAGTTCAAGCTAGGAACCTAAATTAATTTTTATTTTATATACATCAACATACTCAAATAATTTACTACCGGAAGCATTACGTTTTTTATTCAACAGTGGATTTTTTAAACTCAAGAATCACAATGCTGAGAGTAGTACAGAGCTCTCTTGTTTTAACCCTATCTGTACGTCGTGTTTTACTATCGTATCATACAACGTGGGGAACTCTGTGCCACCACATTTACTTGTTAATCCAATCCGTACGCTTTGCATAGCAGTCTGTCAAAATGATTTTTGAGAAATGCTGAAAGTTTCAAAGAGATCTTCGCATTACAAGTATTCTAAAATGTGAAGAATACAACCCCGGGGGTACAAAATGACCCCAGGGCGTACGGATAGGGTTAAAGAAATTTCAATATATGAGTGAGGAGTCCACGGGAAAAACAGAAATAGTCACATATACTGAAAACCATGAGGGTATCAATTTTGAACGTTTGTTGACTCACGTTCAACTGTTGGTTGATTATTGTTGTTAGACTTCCCATCCAACAAACAGGAAAAAAACCCCAAAAAACAAACATACACAAGTCAAACAAATATGAAGCTATTGAGTCAGCAAGCTTTTAAAATTGACACCTTCACAATTTCCAGTTTTGACTATGCCCGTTTTCCCAGTAGACTCCTTATATATATATTTGTATAAATTCAACTTTTTATTGGCATTACTTAGAATGCAGAGCTGAAAATCAACTAATACCTTGCTAGAATTAGGGCTGGGCAATGAGTCGCTTTAGCAAAATCCGGATACTATGTTAGTGCACCTCTTCGGCAAAAAAAATAAATGATATGAACTGCTTCGGCAAAAGGGTTAGAACCACTTCGACAAACGGGTTAGCATAACTTCAACAAATGGGTGCACCCACTTCGGCAAACGGGTCAGGAAAGAGAGTTAAGAGTCTGAATTCGGATAATGTTTCATTGAGAATTATTCGGTTATCCTTGTAGATTATCCGGATTTTGCCCACCTCTAGCTAGAATACCCGAGGCTGACATACATTCTATATCAGGAGCACATTTCTGTCCTAGTTTAAATTTTCTTATTTACATTTAAATCTCGACCTTGAAGAGCCACATGAAACCACAAGACAAGATAGCAAGAGAATAGTTACCCCCCCCCCCCCCTTTCCAGCCCGATCAAAGATATTCCCTGCTCTGATCTTGATCTAATAACCCAAACCCCACAAAAGAAATCATAAATTTTACTTTACAAAAGACAAAGCACAAAGAAACAACATTAAGGCTGTTTATAGAATGAGGAAGTTAATATGCATGATGCTTAATTTTTAAAAATATAAATCAATGGGGAGGGGGGAGGGGGGGCACGGCGTATTCTTTTACTTTCCCTCCCGTCTCACACTTAGATACCCACTGGTCCCAAGGTGCCCATGTTCTAACCACGAATATCGACTTCATACATTTCCATAGAAAATTAATCTTTTAAAAAAAAAAATATTCGATGGTTTTCAATCACCCAAATTGCATAGTGATTTCCAATTGGGGGGTTTCAGGGAGGCATGCTCGCCTCAAGTAAAAAAAAAAAAATCTGGGCCACGGGTTTACAGGACAACTTGAAGTTTTGCATGATTAGGTTTGTCAGTGTGATCTGCAGAAAAAAACAATGCAGTTTGACCCCCAAAGCAACGCCTCCGTGTGAGGGAGCAGAAGAAAGTTCAAAATTTCGAAGTGACTATTTGGATTTGACTCCGATAAAACAAAAATTATATTCGGACTCTGAATCCAGTCCAACATGACGTCCCTTCTGACTTCCCATATTTGTTCCTAAATATTTCCAGCATTTATGAAAATTTTTCCGGTTATAACGATAACAATCAAGACGTGAGATTTGATATCCAGTAACTAGATCTATCTAAACTGGCCCTCTCTGCATCATTGGTAAGAACAACCAAGTTGAGTTGACCTTGCCGGGGGCAAAGTTAATGATGTCTACCAATGATATTGCACGTAGTGATCACGCACTCTTGGCTTGCTGGGGGAAGAGGCCACGGCTGTCGATTTTGAGAAATGTGATTTCTTAAAAACATTAATTACAGAAAAACTATAACACATAAAATGAAATTAAACATGTGGAAAGACTGATGGTGGTGGCAATAAAGATAATGCTGTAGTGGTGGTGGAAAGACCCCGAGCTGTCAATAACCGTTTAGGCCTACGTAGACACTGCCATTGAACAACGAGAGTGCAGTCTTTTGACTTTTGACTCAATTCCACAGGTCTAGTAAGTAATTCTAGTTCTAAATCTGGTTTTACGTAAAATTCTCTCACAACAGTTATATTATGTAACTTCCTAACACTCACATAACTCAGTTAGATCCAGAATTAGAAGCTGAGCCT